TTGCCCCGGCCGTAATTTGCACCGTAAGGGTCCCGTGCAAGACAATGTGTGTGGCATTCCACTTGGACTTGTTGTGCGCGATGCAAAGACTCGGGAGCAGTGAGCAGGTAGTCAATAATAGAGGTGCGGCCAGCCTCATATCTGGTGGGGAACCCCTTGCAATCAAAGTTTGCATTCAAGATGGAGTGGTAAGCCCCGGCCTCGCCATTAGCAAAAGCAGATTTGGGAAAGGCAAGAAGCAGGCTGCCATTAGAATTTTGCACCCCACAGTCCCCGGTTATGGGTCCTAAGCGCGCATTGAAGTCACCACCATTAAAACCTCTCCTTTCAATTGGGATTGAGTGCAAGACTCAAGAAGGCCGGCGTATAGCTCTTGTCGTTTTGCAGCAGAATGGCGGTGTGTCAGACTGATAACCACGTAGATGAAAGTGTCTTGAGTGTGTCCCGATCCTGCCACCTCCAACCACATGAATTCATGCGTCTTGTCAATGGCAACAACATTCACAAAACCCTTCAAGTCTTTTCTAAACAGGAAGCCAATACCGCAGTGGTGAGCTGGACGAACGAATGGCTCTAGGCTGGGGAACCAAACAAATCTAGGCACCGAGACCGGATCGGAGTGAAATTCTATCCTGGACGCCAAGAATGTCAATTTATTTTAGCTTATTCACTAGTTCAAGTACGTCTTGAGAGTTGGTTACAAAGCTTGTTCGAGCATTGAGAGAGCCAATCCATACAAAGGCTTTTTTGATCCGCTTGCATGGCGCCATCAAGCAAAGCTACAGGTGCTTCCAAGGTGAAATTTGCCAGAGACTGTTGTGTTGGCGAAAGGGGCGTGAGAGCTCAAAGAGATCACTGTCGAACGTCTTGTGGAAAATCTCAGAGGATCAAGAAGGTAAGGGTGACACAAGGTCAAATGGTTCTCTAACGTGACACACCTGCAAGATCTGTGCACAGGAACACGAGAGCGTCACACGCAAGACTGCAATGAAGTATGCCTAACTAGGAACTTAGTAAATCTGAAATTTCTGGACTTGGGTCACTAGAGACTCTCTCAATCCTGCTGTCTATCAAGGTACAACTGAGAAAACAGCAATGCCCCTAACTCTCTGATCCCCGCTCTGATCACTGTGATACATGAGAAAAGCAGCAATAAACGGTGTAAATCTGGTGGGGCAGATGGCCAAATGGCCAAAAGTCTGGTAATGGCGGTGACAATGGTGAGCAATAAGAAGCTGCTACTGGTCCAAATCATACGAAGGAGCAATACATCCTACAAAGGAAAAGCAGATGCAACAAGATGGTTCCATTCACCCTTGTTATGCTAGGAAAGAAAACCTCCCTTGCACCTTCCTTGCTTTTTTCTCAACAGACAGTTCGGGCGCCGCTGCGGATTTGTATCAAAATTTGTCATCGAACTGAGGTCTAGCAATGGAAGGTGAGCACTGGCGGAGAGAGGAGAGGGAAGGGGGGGTGGCAGGGAGGCTATGGTGTCGAAGGGCGGAGGAGCGCCCCTGAAAACCTTGCTGGAGTGCACCAGAATACCGATTCTCCACAGAATCTCTGGCTGGTCGAAGTAGAATTAGATCACTTTCTTGATGCGCCTCTAAAGTCTCATTGCTGCACAACTTTTCATGAGCCGCAGTTCGTAGGAACGGCTGATGCAGATCCAAAAAAGCGCGAGCAGGTTAAAACAATGCTAGCCCGCACCGTTAACCCACAGGAAGTGGACGCGATGCTCGAGGGGCAAGTGCCCCCAGCAAACAGAGTTCGAGAATCACCGACTTTCTACAACAACGCCCCGTTCGCCGTGGGCGAAGTCGTCAAGATGGTCGAGAACGGAACGTTGCACGTGTATCGCCCGGGGGAGGGTAAACCTAAAGTGGTGAATCCGCTTGGGGTGCTTAACGTGCCCAAGGGACGCCTGGTTGACAATGCCCGATACGTTAACCTGTTTTCCAAGCGGCAGCCCTTCAAGTACGAGACTCCGCGGAAAGTCCTCAACTTCCTGAGAGAAAAAGCCTACATCGCATCCTGGGACTTCAAAGCCGGCTACTACCGAATCCTCATCAACCCGCCGTTCCGCAAGTACTTCGGCATCAAAGTCGGGGCTGTCTACCTGCACTACAACGCTTTGTGCTTCGGCTGGTCCGAGGCGTGCCTGCTCTACACATTGCTCACCCAGGAGGCGGCGAAGGAGCTGCGATTGCGCGCAACTTTCCCGGTCTCGTGCTATTTAGACGACGGGATAACCGGCAGCGCCGATTTCTGGCGCTGCCTCAGAGCGATGAACTTCATCATCAAGGTGCTGACGCTGCTTGGAGCCGTCTTCAGCTTGCTCAAGTGGCACTTATATGGCCGACGCAAGAGGGACCCTCGCTCGGGTTCCTGATCGATACGGTGGGACAGCGTTTCACCGTGGCGCCGGCAAAGATGGACAAGTTGAGGCGCGCGTTCGAGGAGTTGCTCGCGGCAGATGACGTCACTCCCTCCGAGCTTGCCAAGGTGGCGGGCAAGAGCATCTCAGTAAGCTCCGCTGTTCTCCCCGCAACGCTCTACAGTCGGCCGCTATTCGCCGCCATCCAGGGCAAGCTTTCCTAGAATGACGTGTTCCCCACACCCCTGGCCGCGAAGCAGACGACACAGCTATTTCGAGAGTGGAACGGCAGACGCTGGTTCCCTTGTTGCGTCACAGTCGAAGCCGGTTCCGACGCTTCGGAACTGCCCAGGTTTGGGGGAACTATCCGGGCAAGGATAAGAATACGGTTGTGGGGCCACTTTCGGAAGACGAGCGGCTCATGTCGAGCAATGCCAAAGAGATGTTGACATTTGTCAAAGTTCTCACAGAGGCCTGCGAACGAACGGGGGAGGCGCTCAGGGGCGCGGCGATACTGCTCTCCGGCGACAACCAAGGAGCAGTGAGAGCGGTGAACGCTATGAGCAGCCGTGCCCTTGACGTAAACGAAACAGTGCGACAATTGTCCGAGCTTTGCGTCCGAGACGACTTCGACGTGGTGGCCCAGTAGAAATCGCGCACCAAAATGCAAGAGGAGGATGACCTCAGCAAGTTCCAAGACAGCTCGGACTGGGGCCTCAGCAGGGAACATGTGCGCCGAGTCCTATCGGAGCTCGGAGCAGCAGCCATCCATCGACCCATTCGCGTCCGACACGTGGCACGTGACGGCGCGGTTCTTCAGCCAGCACATCCACCCCGGGTGCCTGGGGGCAGACGCTCTGCGCAAGGACTGGCGGGACGCCCTGGGAGCCGGCGAGTTAGCATGGATCTTCCCAACCTTCAGACTCCTCAGCGAAGTCATCTAGGCAATTAGACGCTTCCGAACGAACTGCGTAGTGATCGTGCCGGAAGCGCCTGCCACCAATTGATGGCTGGCACTGCACGACCTCGACATATAGGCGAAAATGAGGGGGCGTGTGAAGCTTCCCCGGCATACGGACACGTGCACCCAAGCTTCCGAGTACCGACCGGAACGGCCAACCCAGCGCTCTACAAGTTGCACGCATACATGATAGAGTGGTAGGAGGACTCGAGGCATGCATCTGGATAAGTGGGAACTGAATCATATTTGACACTTGGTTAACTCTGTGTTACAATCTAATGGTCTCTTAACGCCGATGCCATACTTCCTCAACGTATACCTTGATGGCGGCGTAACTCTTCCAACGCCATAATTCCATTAGTTGCTTAACATTGTTGTTCAAGGTAACTGCCGCATGCTGCACGGTGGAGCGCCTAAAGCTATGCAAGGTTTCTCCTTCAAAAAGTCCGGCTTGCTGCAGCCTTTGCTGTACGCTTCCGGAGTGAAGCGCTCGAGATTGGGCCCGGAGATTAGCCCGTCCGCTGGCGGTTCTGAGCCCGGAACAGGAACCCTTCTTCGGGAGACGGATCGCCGAGGACCTCGAGGCCCTTCACAAGTTGTGCCGCGGCCTCCTCGAAGGTAAATCTGTCGGCCGCGCCCGCCTGCGCCAGAGGAATGCGCGCGCAGGGCTCTTGGCGAACGGTTTTACACCAACCCGGATATGCTGCCGGGTTGGCTCCCCCTTCCATTGCCGCGCCTGCAGGTTCCCGCACTCCTTACCAACGACCCCCAAAGATAGAGTACAGGCGCCTGGTCCATCAATAAAGTGCATAATCCTAACACTCTGTATCCTTTCGCAGCCGGTCGCCCAGAAAGGCTAGCAAGGCATCCAACTTGGCTTTCGTAAACACTTTGCCCGTTGCACCTTAACGCCTTCTTTCGTGCAGGTATCGCTCGTAACCGTCTCGAAAGGATTTCACGGCTTCCGATTTAGCCGGGTTCTCGTGCCCAGAAAACCCTTGAACGATCTGTAGGTTTTGGACTTGTCCTTTACCACACCCTTAACTACAGAAGTTGACGCCACAACTTGCCCAGTCGATGGCATCACGGTCCGACAATTCTCGCTATGTCGGGGGATCCAGTCCCCTACGATGAAGGCCCCGACGTCCGCAGCAGTGGCTGTTTCAATACTAACCCATAAGGATTTGTCTCCGAAAAGGCCGCAAACTCTTTGTTAGAATCCGGTGATTATGGTCAGCCGGATTACTCCGTGATTAGGGTTCGGACCGAGTTAGGGTTTGAACTAGTGAGCGCCGGTGTGCGTGCACAGCGGTTAGGCGGTTAACCTTGGAGGTTAGGCGGTTGAGAGGGCCGCCGATATGGAGCCGTAGATGAGGATATCGATGGCTATGATTGAGTGTGAGTGTGATCTAGGCTAGTGA